ATTACCATAGGCATTGTGCTCCTTGGAGTGAGAGAGCATTTCACCATTTCAGCTCTTGCCGGTTGCCTTCCCAGGTACCAAATACTATGTAATTGCTGCTCATAAAGACGGCAGACGATATTGCCAGGGAAGCTCACTCCTGGCTATAAATCTTCATCATCAAAACTAGCAGAGCTGCACTTTTGGTTTGGACAGAGTATCCCTAAGGGCAGGGCCCACCCAGATTTTCTGGTTTTTCTACCTTGGAAGAAAGACTCCCAACACTCTCTGAGGAGGCAGGGCCTCCTCCTGGGATTGGGGATGAGGGCATTAGCCAGCACGGCTGGAAAGGCTGAGAAGGGACGGAAGTTACAGCCCCCACCCCACCCCAGAGCTGACAGAAAGCCAATCAGTCATTGCAAATTTGGAAGGGCCCCGTGAGGTTGTCCCCTCTAACCCTCTCACTCTGCCAATGAGGAAGGCGAGGCTCAGAGAGGGCCGGTTTCTGTCAAGGTCACAGCTCTCAGGCCAGTGCCCTTCACCTTTGGCCACACTGTCTTCTGGGGACTAAACAGTGAGCTCAGAAGGACTCCCAGAGGTTGCTGCTGGCTGCCTGGGTCAGTGGCTCCCATGTGGAGATTTTCCTCCATCCTGGCAGGTCTGGGCCCCTCCTGCCAAGAGGCCAGGCTTCCTGGGGCCTTATCCAGGCAGGTTGCTTTTCTGAGCAGATGTAAGCCTATGACCCACACCGGCCTTTTCTGGGGAAACCTCTGGAAGCCAGCTCCGAACTCTGCCTCTCAGCCAAAACAATCTTAGGAGCAGCAATCCCAGCTGGAGAATTTGTACAAGAAAATAAAGATTAGCTTCAGCTTTTCCTCCAAGTGAATACTCCATTTATTTCTAGTAGGACCTCAGTTCTACTAAGAGTACCTGTGCACCTCTCCAAGAAGGAGTTCGGAAGGGCAAAGGAAAGCTTGGAGTGCCTGAACTCAGGACATCAGGCTGGGAGAAGTTCAGCTTCCGGTTCCACTTCCGTTCCTCCTGCCAAGTTGCTAAGGACAGAGATGGCCCGGGGGCAGAGATACAAAATGGGTTTTAGAGAGTGATGTCATGTGGTTCCCAGACATCAGATCGCTCTGCAGAAACTGCCTGGCTGCTGTTATGGGAGTTGTGTTGGAGAGAATTATAACTTTTGACAATGGACATCTCATCTTGCACAGATGCGTCCTTTATAGAATCTGCCAGCAAGATTACAGAGGCATCACAGTGTAATGGGAAGAGGAGTCAATAATCTTGGGGTTATTGATTGTAACCAGACCCATTCTTCTTTTTTAATTTATGTTTTATCCACATTTTTCAACCTGCTTTTTTTTTTTTTTTAACCCGTCCTCACAAAAGCACCTGCTGGAGCAAATGCAGTTGATCACGTTTTTAAAAATGATAGAAGTAATTTGCTGCCCTTAGGAGAATTGGGGACAAGGCAGTGTATGGTGAGGGGGGAGGGGGACTCATGCAGGGAGCAGGGCTGGGGAGAGAGGTGGAAAGAAGAAAGGAGGGCATGGAGCGGGGGAGGGCACAGAGCAAAGCAGAGGGAGGTTGGCGAGGTCACCCTGGCTGACCCTGGACTCCCTGAGGCCGAGATCTGATGAAACTCCATCAGAGATTCAAATTTCCCATAGCTTTGTAGCCCACTGGGTCTTACTGCATCCTGGAGGATATACTCTTATCCCATAGAGCCTGTTTCCTCCAGGAGATCTTTCCTGATAAGGCAAATGGAGATACTGGGTGAGTTAAGGCAGGTGGAATGTGCACACAAACATCCATGTGCATACACTCATGTGTGTGCCCATGTGTATATCTTCATTACAGAGTGTTTAGGTAAAGAATGTAGCAAATAACTTGGCATGTGTTGGATTAGACTGTGTGGGGCGAACTAGTAGTGGCTTGTAAACTCTTAAAAAATTGATTATACGTTTTTGACGTCCCTGATATTCCTCTGGTCTTTAACCCATTTTGTAGTGTAGCATGATAAAACCAGTGGGCATCTGCTGAATGATCCTTGGTGAATTAAATGATCATTTGAACACTCTCTTCTTGGGGAGAAGTGACCGGGGGCTTCTCCAGTCATCAAAACAGGTGCAATGTCAGTTTCTGATTCAATTTCTAAATTGCCCTATGACTGCACTTCCATTTGTTTCTCTTCCAGTTGATGGGAATCTCAGACCCTATTTTCATTGATTGTAATTCGATCACAGAATGTCCAAGTTCAGAGGGAGCTTGGAGAGTGCCTAGTCCAAACCTCTCATTTTCCATAAGAGGAAGCTGGGTCCCAGAGGGATTAAAATGACCTGTCCCAAGGCCAACATCAGTTTGGGTTAAAGTCAGGAGCACTTCAGGACATTTATCCCATGCAAAATTTGTCTCTTTTCTTCCTTTTCCTTCATTTCCTTCTATAGGCAGGAGGAGGGCCTGATCACCATGTCTCTCCCCACCTCCCCAATGTACCCAGCTGAGTTACAGAAAGTTCTTCCTCCTCGCTCCTGTTTGCTTCTAGATGGATTTGAAAGTAGCAGCGGCTTAAAGAAAGTATAAGAAGAAAGCTCCAGAAATGGAGCTACATTTAAATGTCCTCATTACACATTAACTCATTTTGTGCAGGCCTGGACCACTTTTTTCCAGGCTAGGGCTGGTGCTGACATTCTGTGGGGTGAGGTTTTGAGGTCAAGTGAAGAAAGAAAGAAAGATCTTCATGTCATTTTGCTTTTGGGGGGGGCAAAAATGCATCACAAGAATTCTGGATTGTGTTTCCACATCTAGGATGTGGGGGAGATTTGGGAACGGATGAGAAAGAGGCGGGAACATTTATATTTTTCTCATTCGAAGGCTTGAGGGAACAAGAGGGTCCACAAAAATGACCATGAGCTACCGGCTGACCTTGACCTTGACCTCTTATCTGTCCCTGTCAGCACTCCCCACTGCCAACCACTCTGGCCATTAGCCAGAGACTTGTACCATCTTCTTTCTTCATCCTTATCTTCTCTGAGATGATAATGTTCGCTTTGATGAAAGACACTAATGTCTGAGTCAGAAGACCTGAGTTTGAAACTAATCTCTTACACTTAGTAGCTCTGTGACCTTGGGGAAGTCACTTAATTTCTTTAAATCTCAGTTATTAGTTAAGCAAGGTAAAGATGCCTGTTTCTCCTATAATTACCGAGGCATTGAGGACCAACACTAAGAGTTTGACTAATAACGTGGCATAAATTGGAATGTGCTACATACAGTGTAAGACACTTTTTTAAAAATAAACTTTATTTTAGAACAGTTTTAGATTTACAGAAAAAGAAAGTTCAGAGAGTTCTCATATAACCTGCACCTAGTTACTTCTATTATTAACATCTTACCTTACTATGGTACATTTGTTACAACTAATGGACCAATAATGATAAATTATTGTTATTAAGTCCATAGTTTACTTCAGTTTCTTTAGTTTTTACCTAACGTCCTTCTATTCCAGGATCCCATCCGGGACATCACATTACAGGTAGTTCTCGTGTCTCTTTAGGCTCCTCTTGGCTGCGGCCATTTCTCAAACTTTCCTCGTTTTTGATGACCCTGACAGCTCTGTGGAGGACTGCTCAGGTATTTTGTAGGATGGCCCTCAAATGTGATTGTGTGGTGCTTTTCTCATAATTAGACCGGAGTTCTGGGTTTTGGGGAGGAAGACTACAGAGGTAAAGTGTCATTTTCATCACGTCATATCAAGGGTATATCACATGTGAGACTCCTATTGTAAGTATTGGTGTTATTTTAGAGTTATACTTTGTCATTAAGAGATGCCTGCTTTCGGACCCTCTCATCTGTGACTGGGTCACATGGGCCCCTTCCTGGTCCTGGAATAAGAGTCCTGCTGGGGTTTCCCCTGAAACACAAGATGCTCTTTCCCTTCAGTCCACCGAGTCTGCCTTTCTGGTCATCTGGGCCTGACACTAATGAGCTGTTAATAACATGACCATTACCTATGCAAATGAAGGGAGCTGGGCTGGGCAGGAGGCGCCCACAGCCACAGCCGGCTCCCTTCAAGTGCTAAGTAATAAATCATGTTGCTGTGGTTATTAACCATCTTAACTGAGGTGCCCCATGAACTGACCCCCGTGGGGCCCTGGGTTCCCAGCTTATTTATATCAGCAGTCCATTTCCCAGGAGACCCTGGGCACGTGAAGGGTTAATTCACTTCAGCTCTCTATGAAGGGAGCAGGGTGGTGTCAGGGGCTGCAAAGAAAAGAGTTAAACTCTCCGTGTGGCTGCTGACTCCTGTGTGCTTTTTGAGACAGTTACTTACCCTTTCTGTTCCTCAGTTTCTCTTTTGGACACTTGTAAGTAAGGGGGTTCTTGTAAATTCGCCTCCTCCTTGTCAGGATGTGGTCTGGGAGAATGGTGGAACACAAGGGGGTTCTAGTTTTGACTGTCTGTTTATCACTTGTGGGACAAGGTGATATGTTGAGATTTGTGGCCCCAGAAAGGCTGGAGGGGGTTCACGTCATGACAAAGACATGGGCATGGAAGAGCAGATAGGCTGGTGGGTGGCAAAGCATGCCTGTGGCCACATAGCCACAAGGCAAGCGACAGTGATGTGCTATGTACTTTTTTCTCACTTGTGTTAAAGTGTCTTGGGTCTCAGTAGCCTGCAACTACCAAAAGCAGTTTTCAGTTCCTTCTACATCCAAATCGGGGCCCAGAGGGGGTACCTCCTGGGTGGCGGCCAAGCAGAGGATGGTTCTCACGCCTTTGGCCCCAGTCCTCAGAACACCAAGTGGGACTGGAGGCTCTAAAAAGTCAAAGCTCGCCCATTTGAGTTCTGAAACAATTGGAAAATAGACATAGGAATCCGACAAGGGCCAATATATCAGTTTTGTGGGTGGTAAAGTTGAGTGGGAAGATAAGATTTAGAGCTGAGGCTTAATGAGGTTTGGCACATGGGCTTTTTTCCCTTCCTTCATGAATTGAAATTTCCTATTCAGTCGCAGGCAGAGAAGTTGAGTGACTGCTGGCCTCCCTGGGGAGCTGACTCCATGGAGGAGACAAGGATGCTGTGGCCTGGGTAAGGGCAGATGAGGAATGAGAAGTCATTAGAGAGAGAGAGTGCACAGGCCAAGGAGGAGCTCAAAGCCTTACTGGCCATATATCTGATTGGTTATAAGTCTTGGTGGCACATGTCCATGAGGGTGGTCCTCATGATTTCCAGCTCCTCAGATTCACGCCCTGTATAATCCTCTCCCCTAAAGTGTGAGCAGGACCTGTGACCAGCTTCTAGTCAAAAGAATATCACAAAGGTGAAGGGATTTTGCAATGCAATTAAAGTTACAAGTCAGTGGATTTGAGGTTAATCAAAAAGATTATTCTGGGTGGGCCTGACTTCTTCGGGTAAAAGCTCTTAAAAGAGAGACTGGGTTATTTCCTGGGAGAGAGAGTCTCCTTGCTAGCCTAATGGAGTAAGCTGCCCTGTTAAAGGAGGCTCACAAGGCAAGGAATTGGAGTGGTCTCTTTGAAAGTGGGCAGCCTCTAGCTGACATCACCAAAACATCGGCGTCCTCAGTCATACATGGATTTTGCTAACAATGTGAATGAGCTTGGAAGCAGAGCCTTCCCCAGTCGAGCCTCCAGATGAGAGCACAGCCCAACCAACACCTTGACCACAGCCTTCTGAGACCATGAGGAGAGAACCCTGTTAAGGTGTGTCTGGACTCTGACCAACGGAAATTTGTAAAATAACAAATGCATGTTGTTTTAGGTCACTAAGTCTCTGATAATTGTTATGCAACAATAGACAGCCAATACCGTCCTCTTGGAGAGAAGTGAGGGGGACAGGAGTACATCGTGGAGGAAATAGAGGTAATATTTCTGTAGTTATTGTCTGTAGAAGGAAGTAGTTATTTTATGGACCTGAGCAGTGTAGGAAGAGGGAGAAAATGTCCTTCCTCTCATTACACACAGGGGTAGATCTCTATTGTCCCTCAAGCCATTCTGATTATTTCTTTTCTGAATTGGACTTCTCAAAGAAGAAGAAACAGAGTTTGATTGGATATCAGAGACAAGCCACATTGTTGTCTGCACCTTATACAGAGGTTCCATCAACTCCCATGGGTGAGAATCTATTCCTTCCTGGGTTTTGATTTTCCAACTCTTCCTTCTGTTCAATGAGATGTCCAACTATCTTTCCAATAAATCCTTCATCCTGGTTGTTAAAGAAAATTTTCTTAAGCTAGCCAGAGCTAATTGCTCTTGCTTGCAATCAAGAGAATTTTAAAACCTGGTATATTTTCCCACTTGTCTAATTGCCCCAAATTAACCCCCATCAAAATGCTTGTCCCCACTATTTCTCTTCTGGAATGAGAACTTCAGGCTCTTCCCTGGTCTCTTTGGTCCGTTAATCTTCCTCCCCTATTACTGCATCTGTTGCTGATGATCTCACAGAAAGCATTGACTGATCCTAACTTTCTAGCTGGAGGCTGCTGCCACTGATAACCCCAAAGCTGGCTTCAGGGGGAGGGACACCCATTCTTCCCTTGGCTCCTCCTTCTTAAACCTGAGGTTTAGCCTTTCCCAATTCCCATCAGCCCAACTGAGGTCAGGCTATGACTTTTAACAAACCTTTACTAAAGCCTTGAATATAACAGAAGTTCATTGCTTCTAGCGTTGGCTATCCTTGGAATCTGCAGGCATGAACTCCACTCGAGAGTCCTTTACTGGGCTAGATCTCTGCCCAGCTGCTGTTCCACTTCCATGTGGCAGGTGCCATGTCTCCCCCATCTCTCCTGATTCCAGACCAACTGACTCTGATTCCCCAAATCGTAAGGTAGGTATTTTCTCATCTTCCTCATTTTTTTTTTTTGTCCCAAGATTAACCTTACCCTAGGATGACTGATGGTGAAAATATCTATTACTTTCAGGGGAAACTTCAACTCCCTCTCAAGGTTGTATCTGTCTGCACAATCTCAAACACCAGTATAATGGTTCCGCAAGGCATTAACCAAAGTCTATCTTATTCAGTATTAGATAATGTCATATGCTGACATAAACTGTCTAGTCTAGGTTGTGCTGTGCCCGATATAGCCCAATTCTGTCCTTCACCTCAAAGTAAAAGCCTACATTTCCCTTCTTTCAGTCTCCAAACTTGATCTTTGGGGAGTAAATCACTGCATAACAAACAAGGACATGGATACATCTCTCAAAAACAAAGAGTAATTTTCAGGCATAGTTCTCCTAAAATTTAGATTTAGAAAAAGAGAAATTTTCCAATCAAATATGTAGAGAAATGGTCAGGATAAATTACTCTAAATGCATAATACTATACAGCTCAATTTGAAGCATCAAGATTTGCATTACCTCATAGCTCCCAGATCTTCCTCAAGAGTTTGAGTGTGTCCTTGCTTTCAATTTGCGTTGGTAAAATGCTTCTTTTGATGATGTTTTTCCAAATAAAAGAGTAGTTTCCCCCCAAAATTAATTCCACTCTGCAGTCGATCCCCTTTGACACGTGGTTGGCTATTTGGTAGAGTGGAGAGAACCTGCGATTGGATGTTAAAAGAATGAATTTCAGTCTTTTTCTTCCAGAGAGTGGTCATATTGCTTGAGGAGTCATTTAACCTTTCTAGAAATTTTGTTCTATCTATAAAAAGAGATGCATTATATGCTATCTTGTAGCCCTAAGGTCCTCTGCTTACCTAGGAGTCAGAAGACAGGATGTGACTGGGACTAGATACAAGAAAACCTAGCTGCTTCATTCCAAGCTGTGAAGGGGTAAGAATCAAGGCCTCTTATGCCAGGTGTTCTGCTGATGCTCATGGGTAGTAGATCTGCATGCGGACTGACATGCACCACTCATTGTAATGTTTGATAGGATGGGACCTGCCCTCATGCGTGGAGGTGCTGCCATTTCTCCTGTTCAGTCCAATGTCTCTGAATCATCCCTGTTCAGGCAGGGCTTTTCTGATTGGCAAAGAAAAGCTGCTGTGGAAGACTTGGCATCTTTGTGCCAATGTCAACCCTAGGTAAGCATCCTCCACCCCATTCCAACCCACCCAATTCTGTATCTGGATTATTTCTTTGCCAAATACTCTGTGTTAGATATGGGTTCTCTCTGCTCTTAGGGTTGTCTGGTTTTCCTATTTCCTTCCTGTGCCCAGGCCGTATTAGCTGGGCTGTGGCCCTTTTTCTCCTTTCTCCTTTATCTAGAACTCTCTGAACACTCTTGCCTGGCTCCTGGGGCCATTGCAGTCTGATCCAACCCTTCTACTTGCGGGCCCTGCTTTCCTAGCTGGCCCTTCTTTCTCTCCCTCCATTGTTTCCCAGGCAGCAACTCCCCACCTGGGGGCAGGGTCAACTGCATGGGGGCCAGAAACTCGGGGTCCAACATGAGCTACTGTCACTCAGGAGCCTGCTTCCCAGTTCTCCTGTCACAGACAGGGTCCCCTGGTGCCATGTTGGCACAGGCAGGCTTGCAAAGGCATGCACTCCCTACCTGCGTGTCCAGCTGTATTTGCCTGTACACATGATGTGGTGCCAGACAAGCAAGTTTGGAGCCACTTAGGGGAATGACTGGATTCTTCAGTGTGTTTGTTTTAGAGTCTATAGGGGACTTTGATATCAAATAGAGAGTTTTCACCCCAACCGCATGCCTTGGCATCTATCCAGGTCATTAAAAAAAACAGTAAATGAAAAAAATAAAATGGGGGCATTTAAGGGACGTCCTTACTATTTCCTTCTATTCTCCAGTTGTTAGACTTCCATAAGGAAGGTCGGAGTTGAATGCCTACTCTATGTCGAGTTCCTTACTACGTTATTCCTCACCTGACATTCCCTCTCACTTTATGGTAACTTCTTTCACCTGAGTTATTTCTAGACGCTTCAGCTTCATCTCAAACACCTCCCCTTTCCTTACTCTCCCAACAGTTGAGCATTTTCTAAATCTCATTTATTGTCTTCATACTATTCTTATAGGGTTGAAGTAATTATTTTCATTTTACAGAAGGAATGGAGCTCCAAGACACAGAAATCTTGTTGCGGTCACAGAGTTAGCAGGTGGGAGGGCAATGTTTTAACCTGGGTTTGCCTTACTCTGCAGTCCACGGCAATTCACTGATCAACAAACACTCAGTGTGCCTCTGAGCCTAGGATGGGGCTGGCTGCTAGAGCACAAGCCGTGGTCTTTATTCAAGGACCCTATAGTCTAGTGGGGCGGTGGGAAATATGTAAAAATAAAAATCAGCAAACAGTGGAGGGATAGCATGGTTCTACAGTGAGAGATCGGCTAACTGTTGGAGGAGAGTCTGGGAGAACTTTTCGGAGGAGGTGACTTTTGATTTGAATCTTGAGGGCTGCGTAGAAGTTTGCCAGTTAGACTACGAGGGAAAGGGAACTCCGGCAGAGGAACGCACACGAACCAAGGCATGCACACCAGAGGAGCATGTGAGGAAAACTGGAGCTCCTCTGTCTGGTGATGGCCCATGGGTGTCAGGACAGCTGCGGGAGATGATGGACCAGGTGAGATGTCTTAGCTTTTTCCTAAACCAAGAGGAAGCTTCTGAAGTTCAAACGGGAAAGAGGTACAATCATGAACGTGCCTTAAAAAAAAACTGGCAGGAGTGTGGAGAAGTGTGTGCAAGTGTAAGGGTGAGTGTGTGTTTGGGAGGAAACATCAAAGCCATGGAGACTAGGTATGAGGCTTTTCTGGTAGATTAGGGAAAAAGTGATAAGGGCCTGGGCTGAAGCAACAGCAGAGGTTATGGGGAGGGGGGTGGTGGGTAGGACCGATAATTGTGTTTACAACAGACCAGACGCAGGGATGAGTGAACTGGTCGGGGGAGGTGAGGAAAAGGGGTGTTTGGGTCAACAGTGAAGTTTCTAGTTAAATAACCTAGGTGAATGATGGCACCATTAACTGAGACGAGGAATGTGAGAGGAGACTAATGAGGTCCATTTTGGATGTCCTGATGGAGAGCAGCATGCAGGCGCTGGGGACGGCTGCTGCTGCTTTCTGAGCCTAACAAGCGGGAGGAAGGATAGAGTAGGGGCAGTGGTCAGAAAAGAAAGGGGGCGTCCCAGGACGCGGTCAGGGCCCGTGCTAATGTTCCTGGCCAGCAAGTCAAGATTTGGCTTAGAGAAGCCCCAGCACCATCTGCGAAACTAGTCTGCGTTCCCAGTTCTCTGGTCATGTTGAAGCCCCTCTCTGCTTGTCATGAGTCAGGCACTGACAGTCTCAATGGTGTTGGCGATTTATCAGTGAGTGGGAAAAGATAATTGACCATCATCTCACCTCACCTTGCCTCGCCTCAGCTGATGGAGAGAAATTTAACTGCTTCATTCCACTGTAATTTCACATAATTCTCCACCTATTTCTCCCTAGTTTTTACTTGGAAGTTTACACGTGTGATTAATGATTTGCTATCAAATATAAAAAGAAAGCTAAAATATCATTGGACAGTTTAACAGCCTTTAAAATATAATGGTCTCTCTGGCTGGACATCCACAGTAGCCGAAGAAGCCCGGAAGGTCAAGCTTTAATGAACTGGTGAGAATCAGAGAAGGAAAGTGAAAGTGATCAATGCTCAGAGCTGGCTCCACAGTCCACTGACCTTGGGGGAAGAAGAGACCTCAGGATTTATGGAGCCCCTCTAGGCCTGTTCATGGGACTGTCAGAAGCCACTGGGGAAGGCGATGGGTTGGACCGGGATGGGGAGTCAGCGGTCCTGGGCCATGAGGCTGCTTGCTCTTAGCCTGGCCCTTGTTTATATCCTCATGAGCACCCAGGCTTTGGGGTCTCAGCCCCTGAGCAGGACTCCCTGTAAACTTTTGCCTCAGGGATGACCTGATGACTTGCCTCTGACCCTGTCCAGAGAACTCAAATGCTCCCATTGCTATCATTCTTGTTTCCTGGGACCCTCTGACTTGCTTGCTGTATCCCTCTTGCTTCATTCTTAGAAGCTTTGTAGCCTTCTTTGCATGTAAACCTCTGAACTTATCTGTGTGACATGCCAGCAGAGGAGGGGAGGGGTTCTCATCCTCAGTGTGCCATGCATTCTTCCAGGCACTAACCTATACACTGTCTCATTTGATTCTTTCTCCAACCCTTGAGGTAGTTATTAGAATGCTCACTTATAGATGAGGAAACCGAGGTTGAGAAGATGCAGTAGGTAGCTGCAAAATGGCTCCTCAGGACCCCTGCTTCCTGGAATTCTTGTCCTTGTGTAATTCCCTCCCCTGGAGTGTGGGCTGGACCTAGTGACTTGTTTCTAACAAACAAAATATGGCAAAAGTGATAGGAGTCACTCTGAAATTAGGTTATAAAAAACCATAACTTCCATCTTTTTCTCTTGTTGGCTCGTTCCGATGAAAGCCTGCTACTGTGTTGTGAGCTGCCTTATGGAGAGGTTCACATGGCAAGGAACTGAGGGAGGCCTCCAGCCAACAGCCCAGGAGGAACTGCATGCTGTCAACAATCACGTGACTGAGCTTGGAAGTGTGCCCACCTTGGTCTAGGCTTGAGAGGTCTGCAGCTCCAGCTGACCCCTTGACTGCAGCCTGGGAGACCCTGAGCAGGGACCCAGCTAAGCTGCATCTGGATTTCTGACCCACAGAAACTGTAAGATAATAAATGTGTGTTGTTTTAAGCCGCTAAGTTTTCAAACATTTTGCCATGCAACAGTAGATCAATAAAACAGAATGGTTAAATAAGTTGTGCAAAACAAACATTTCATAAACGGCAGAGTTCAGACTCAAACTTGAGATCACTTGATTTTTAAAGTACCATGATCTTTCACGACACTATATTGGTTTTTTTTTTTTTAAAGATTTTATTTATTTCCTTTTTCTCCCCAAAGCCCCCAGGTACATAGCTGTGTATTCTTAGTTGTGGGTCCTTCTAGTTGTGGTATGTGGGACGCCGCCTCAGCGTGGCTCGATGATTGGTGCCATGTCCGTGCCCAGGATTCGAACTGACAAAACACTGGGCTGTCCGCAGTGGAGCGCGCGAACTTAACCACTCAGCCACGGGGCCAGCCCCACACTATATTGGTTTTTAAGAAAAAGACTGACATGTGCCTGCAGCTCCAGGAGGAGCTTTAGGATACAGAGGTAAATGAAGTCTGTGGGGTGGTGGTCTCCTGAGATAGGCAGAGGGCCAGGCTCTCCTGGAGACAGCGTGCATTCTCTCTGTACCTTCTGCTGGGCCTTCCGGTGGAGCTGCAGTGTGACTGCCCTTCCCCCGAAAGCTCTTTCCCATTAGACAGATTGCACCTAGGAACATCTGCCCAGAAGCACTCCAGTTGATTTAAGCATCTTTGCTTTTAATTTTTGGTACCTTTCAGAGAGAAAGAGAAAAATAAGGTTAGTTTCCTGAAGTGTAATTGTTTCGGGCAGTTATTTATTAATGAAAAGGAACAACATGTCAACAAGCCCCAGGTTTGGCTGTAGAACTAATGTCTGCCAAGGGGCAGGTGATAGCAAAGGTAAGCCCGCTGTCAGTCTGCATTTGTCCAGCGCCATGATCACCTATTAATTACCTGTGCTCCAGGCCCTGGCTGGGGACAGTCTTTGCTTCTTTGCCACCAAGGCTTCCTGAGCTCTGAGGGGCAGGAGAAGCACCCTCTCTGACGTGGTCCTCCTTACGGAGTTTTATGGTCCTTGGAGCGTTCTCCAAGGTTCTGAAGACTCACCCTCTGCCTGAGCCCCAGGATGGTGAAGGGATAAGGTGACAGCTTCCTTTGTTGAAGATGTGGGGTGTAGAATTTTGACCTGAGCTGTCATTGAGTTGTGTGAATGTGTTGTATTTGGAGTCAGTGAGATTACGGAAACTCGCTTTGTTTCCTTCTGCATCAAACGGGGAATTACAGACCATTACCTCACAGGATTGATCGAAGGATCAAATGCGCTAATGTATGTGGAAACGTGTGCAATACAAAGCACTCTACAAATTGTGTGTGTTCCTGTGAGTTTGGTCAAGTTGGAGTTACCTCTATGTTCTAGAAAACCACATAACTATTTAGAAAGAAACTACAGATATGTTTTGAAACCCTAGGTTTCCAGGCATTCCATGTAAGGGAGTTTTCCTCAAATGCCTCATAGTGCCTCATGTGAAACATGGAAATAATCCATTTATGCCCCCTTCTAAGCACAGTAGATACTGCCCACTTAATTTGTGACTTTGGACAAGCAAGAACCTTTCTGGGCCTCGCATCTCTTTTTATGAGGTTGAATCAGATAATCTCCAAGGTCCCTTCCTGCTCTAACATTATGTGCTTGTGCCACCCTATGGAAGACCCTGTTGATTAGTTAAATTAGCCATTTCCAACTCCCTTCTCTCTTGACCTCCTCCTACTACTGACAATTAAAAAAGAAAGCTATATACTTACTTTCTCAGGTCCCCAAACAATATGAGTAGCCATGTGACCAATTCTGGACAGGGGCTTCTGGGCAATTTTTTTTTTTTTTTACTTTCCAAGATAAAATGGACAGATAAAGCTTATGGTGTCCCTTCTTTCTTCTTCCTATCTTGAGTGAAGAGTTGTTAGCCGTTTTATGGTAGTGAGGTGGTGAGAGGTAAATTAAGTCACAGAGATAAAAGGGGAAATGGAGAGTATTGGCCAGTTAGGATTGCCTGTTTGGCAGGTGGCCAGGAAGCTTTAGAGTAAGAAAGCTTACTAGAACTCAGAAAACCATTTATTTCTTCACTGTACAGTCATGAAACATCAGCACAGTGTGAAGGGGCTGAGGGGACTAAGAAGGCTGAGAGGGTTAATTCAGAGCCAGCAGCAAATATTTGGTGTGTGCCCATACTTTGCCTACCAAGTTGGTTCATGTTGTAGATATAAAATAAGTGCAATTCAATTCAATTCAACTTGACCCAACAAACGTTATCTAGTGTGCTTCTTCCCAGCATGATAAATATATAAAGATAAATAAATGATGCTCTCTCTCCAAGTGTTCACAAATGGAATGGACAACAGCGTGAACACCACACTAAAACACTATAAAATACTTGCTGGAATATAGACATGAATGAAAGGCAGTGGACCCAACCAGAGGGTCACTTTATCATGACCATTCCAGAGCCTGACAGAACAGAAAAGAGATTTATATCATGATGCCATCAAACTCTCTGGGATGAAGAAACTGATAGACCAGACAATCCAGGGTGGTAAATAAGGGAAGTTCAGACAACACTATGGAAGTTAAGAGAAGAAAAGTCAACCAGAACTGGGCCTCCTCAAAGGAGACTTTTTGGGGTGGTGCACCTTGTGCTGGGACTTGGAAGACGGTACCTGAAAGAAAAAAATTGAGCCAAGTTAAGGAGGTGGAAACATGTATGATGTATTTGGAAGCCTTGCCTAGTACGTGGAGGGCCCCTGGGCAACCTCTTTTCTACTTCTCTTCAAGCTCTCAGTCACTGAGTTCTGAAGAGTTTTCTTAAATGGTCCTAAGCTGAGGTATTGTTCTCGACCTTTGAGCAAAGGAGCCCATCCTTTGTTTTCATTCCTAGGAGAGAGGGAGGGTGATCAGAGCCCCTGATGAGAGGCTTGAATCCTGGAGGTGGTTGGTGGCCCTCTTTAACCCTGGTCTCAAATCTTGAAAGCACTTAAAAGGCTGAGTCTTACCCCCCACCTCTCACAACTCTAGAAGGATAGATTAAAAACCAGAAAGTTAAGAATTTTGCCAAATAAGAGAAGAATGTCTGCGTCATTCAATATGGCAATCCAACTCTAAAGAATTGTTCAAAATTCAATGTTCATATCTTCTTCTATGTTATCTCTAGATTTCTCCTTTTAGGGCATTTCAAGATATTGAAAGCTCATGAAAAGTTCCAGATAAAGATGCAGGATGCTCAAGAATCAATAACATTTACTGAGTACTTACTAAGTACTAGGCACTGTTCTAAATGCTTTTCATGCATAACTCTCTTAACAGGGAGAAGGAGCTGTTGCCAGGACTGCTGAGCTCCCATTGACTGTAGCATAGACATAGTGGGCTGGCAAAATGCAAGAAGCTATCTGTGCAAACACAATTCTTAATATGGTCAAGAAGAGATATGACCATTGGGCCCCTTTCAATGACTTTATTTGTTCTGCCCAACCTCCCATTCCTGCCTCTGTAACCATTTTGGCATTCTTTCACATATTAGCCAAAGCTTTCCTGTCCCCACTAACTCCATGTAGGCTGCAGCCTGACAAACTATTACTCATACCTATTTCCTGATAAACTATTACTCACACCTATTTCCTGGAAAGCTTCTCCATGGGCGAGTGGCACTGCTCACTAAGTTTCTGAGCAGAGCTGTCAGTGGGGCCAAGGTATGGCACAGGGAAGAAGCTCACTGACAGGTGCAGGATGGGAGCTCTCCAGAACAATGCCTGATTATCATGATGGCAAGTTGGAAAAATGATAACCTCTCTCTGCCTAAAGAGAAACCTCTGCGTGTCACCACCAATCATGCAAACTAGACTCTTAAAATGAGATTAGGCTGAAACACAACCAATCCACGCTGCAGTCTCAGTTGCTCTATGACTTCATTTAAAGTGCCAGTGCCAGCAGGAAGAAAGAAGAAATCAATACTACATTTTCTTCGTCATCAATTTTGCTTTTTGCTAAATGAAAATGCTTTTATTCCCTCCCTTGTTCCCTTCCCCATCGAAGATGTTTCTTCTCCCCATGTTACTATCTTTACCCCCATCCTGTTGTGTCAGTTGCACTCCTGCAAAGAGCTCTATGTAGGGCAGCGCTGTAAGTATGCCTCTTTGTACTAAGCACTTAAAAATATTGCAGAGAATGTCGTATCAATTCACCAAAGATTTGCAAATACAACACGCCTTGCTCTGCAGGCCTCTTGCTGCTGCAACAGGGCCCTAACCATGGTCTTGTCTTGGAACTATTGGCTGCTCCAGCTTTTATAGATGGAGAGTCGATAGCACAGTGACTCCAAATAACTCTTGAGGCCCGAGGGGCACATCCTAACTAAATGCCCTGTGCCAGGCTGGAGCAGCATATCCTGTAGAAGGGATCTGATAGGCAAAGCGGGCCTGTCTTGAACTCATTCATGGGCTTTGGTTACAGAAGCAGCAAAGGCACCTCATTAGAAGATGTTCTCAGCTGTTCAGTTACAGAGGATCTCAGAAGGTTTTGCCGAATAATACAGTGGCCCAGCGTCCAAAGCAGTCCCTCGGTAGTGACCTTTAAGAGCACTCAATGAGCTCCCGTTTATACTGGCTCCAAGATGGTCCCAATCCAGGACTTTACCCACTTGCCAATATTTGGAAAGAAAGAAAGAAAATTTGCAATAGAGGAAGAAAAAAAATACAGTTCCATGGGCTGGAAATTCATTTCCTGAGGAGCAGGAGCACATCGCGTGCTCTCTGGGACTCATCGAGCTCCAGGAAGCTCGACCAGTCACTTAATAAGTCATTGAGGACGTGTGGTTTAATTAACTCGCCCAAAATTCCTCCTTTCCCTTTCTCACTTTTGCTATTAATATTTTTCGATATCTGATAATGCAGTGTAGTTAATTCTTTCTGGCTTTATAATGAACACTGCCATAATGAAAAAGGTTAGCAGTGCTTCAGGCAGCTTTTAATTATCCAGCCGAGCAGGTAAAAGCACTTTATTCTTCTCTTTTTTTTCCCCTTACTTAGCAATTAATGGAGGAGCTCAGTGGCACTTACTGTACCTTTTTTGTTTTCTAATGGATGATGCTGCACGGAGCAGGAAGGCCTTACTGTACCCCTGTTACTACCAAGCGCAAACCTGGGAGGCTGCATCGCTGCCTTTCAGGCCTCTGGCTTGTGGGGCGGAAGTGCTTCTGTGGCTGGCTGAAGGTTTATCTAATTAAAAAGCT